GCTCCCGTAGGATTTATCATTCAATCTTAGGAAGTGAATTGAGATAGACCTTAGGTTGCAAACCATGCATTCTAACACTAGGTAGGTTTCCCCTTTATCCTCGACTATAGGATTGACTTTGCATGACAAATTTAGGCTTACTTTGCTAGTCTCTCTTAGACCTTTTTTTTTCTTTCAACTTCAAAACACTCTAATACTACAAAAACTCTTTTTCAAGGTAAAAAACACCAACCAATTCAAACTTCATTTTGCCACTTGGCTTTTCTTTTAAAACCCTTTTTCAAGGTAAAAAACATACAACAAATCAAAACATGTGAGCCTAACTACGGTACTCTGATTCCTTGAAAGGGATACATAGGCATTAGGTCGCGGGGCCTAGGCGAGCAAAACTTTGAAAATATTCCTTCTTTTCCCCATATTTTCTTTCGCATGCATTCCCTCTTAGAATTAAGCTTTAGACATATATTTTTATAGACTCTTAGATTATAGCAAACAAAAGTGGATCCTATGGAGTACCACAGACGCGTGGGGTGTTAATACCTTCCCATTGCGTAACCGACTTCCGTACACTTTCTCTTGGTCGCAAGACCATCTTATCCATTTCTTTTGGGTTCTCTCGATATCTTCCATTCCTTCGGGATAAATAGAGTTCGGTGGTGACTCTGTGTTTTTTTCGTGGCGCGACACTGATGTCAGGGTTGGAGATAAAATGGTGTATGAGAAGGAGTTCAAGGATATGTGTACCATGATGGATAACACTAGGCTTATTAAAATGGACAGTAAATGGGACTACTATACCTGGAGTAATAAGCAGAGTGAGAGCATTATATATTCGAGGATTGACAGGATCCTTGAAAATACTGAGTGGTTTATCAACAACTTGGATCTCATCCTTACTAACACGACGCTTGAAATCTCCGACCACGTCATGCTTTGCTTGAAGGATGATAATAACCCAGTAAAGAGGAAGTTCATATTCAAATATGTGAATTGTGTGAGTGACATGGATAAGTTCAAAGACTTTGTGGTTAACAGTTGGAATGCTCCTAGCAGGGGAGGTCACTCTATGAAAAATTTGTGGCAGAAACTCAAAGGGCTCCAGCCTGTTATTAATAAGATGAGCAAGCCTTTGAGTGTCATAAGAGACAAGCTGCAGGAGGCTAGGGAAAATTCACCCATGCTCAATTGGAGTTAACTTCAGATAGATTAAACAAAGATAAAATTAATAGAACCAAGGCATGCACTGAAGATGCTATTAAGTGGACAAAGATGGAAGAGCAAGTGTTGTAGCAGAGAGCTAAAATTCGTTGGCTTAGGCTAGAAGATGGCAATAATTCCTATTTCCATGCCTCTCTCAAAGCCAAATACAACCAAACTTCCATCAATAAGCTATGCAAGAATGATGGGACATTTATGGTCACTCAAAAGGAGATAGAAGATGAAATTGTGAATTTCTATGGTGATCTCATGGGGAAAGAAGAACCAAACCTGGATAGTGTTGATATTAATATCATGAGAAAGGGAAGTCAGCTGAACAATGATCAAAGGAAATACCTTGTAGACAATATGACTAATGAGGAGATTGAGAAGGCCCTCAATAGTATAGGGGATGTAAAGGCGCCAGGGATTGATACCTACGGGGCGAAGTTTTTCAAGGATGCTTGGAGCATTATTAAAAGAGATTTTATAGGTTCTGCTCGGGAGTTCTCTGAGAAAGGGAAGTTGTATGAGCCTATCAACACTATCCTGGTAATTTTTATCCCCAAAAGTACTGAGGCTAATAGTGTTCGTGACTATAAGCCTATCTCTTGTTGTACAACCATGTATAAGGCGATTTCTAAGGTGGTAACTACCAGGATAGGGATAGTCTTAAAGAGTATTGTCCACCAAAGCCAAGCGACTTATGTTCCAGGCCAGAGAATTCATGACTAAATCCTGCTTGTGTATGAGTTAATTCAAGGATATAATAGAAAAGGAGGCACTCCATGTTGTATGCTTCAGTTGGATATCCAATAAGCATATGAAATTGTTGACCGGAAGGCTTTAGAGATTATCGTGAAGGAAGTTGGCATTCCAAGACAATTCATTAGTTGGATGATAAAGACGGTTACCAAAATTACTTATAAGTTTGTGGTGAATGGGGAATATACTCAGAGTCTGAAATCTAAGCGTGATATAAGGAAGGGAGATCCACTCTTCTAATTGTTATTTGTCATTGTCATGGATTACCTACACAGAACCCTCAAAGATTTAAATAATACCCCCGATTTTAACTTTCATGCTAAATGCGAAAAGTTAAACATCATAACCCTCAGCTTTGCGGACGACGTGCAAATGTTTACTAAAGGGGATACGATTTATGTTGAATTACTTATGCAAGTTTTCAAGAAGTTCTCTAAATCTACTAGCCTTGTGATAAACCCATCCAAGTGAAAAGTATATTTTGGATCCATGGAGAGTTGCATTAAGAAGGATATTAAGCACGTCACAACATTCAAGGAAGGAGCTCTCCCTTTCAGGTACTTGGGAGTTCCTCCCACGGTGAAAAAGCTGCCAGTTAGCCATTATATGAGCTTAATTCACAAAATTGTTACGAGAATCACTCATTGGAGCGCAAAGCTATTAAGCTACGCGTGCAGACTTCAACTCATTAGAATCACCAACTATGCAATAACAAACTATCAGATGACTTGCTTCCCGTTCCCTAAGAAAGTCATACAGAAAATCAACGCCATCTGCCGGTCGTTTCTTTGGACAGGAGGAGCTACTATCTCAAGGAAATCCCCCATCTCTTGGAAGCAATTTTATACATCGAAGAATCAAGGTGGTTTAAACTTGATAAACCTGGAAAATTGGAACGTTGTTGCGATGATGAAGCTGTTGTGGAATCTATGCAGTAAACAAGACAATTTATAAATTAAATGGATAAACTGTTATCATGTGAAGAACAAAAATATGATGTCGATTAGAATCAAAGACTTTTGCTCCTAGATTCTAAAATACATTTTGAAGTAGAGACAAAAAGTTCACTCTCTTCCTAGCTGGAATACCTTGATTCATAAGGGTGAGTTTGTTGTGAAGAAAATGTATCATGATTTGTAGGATGGTACCAACATAGTTACTTGGAGAAAATTATTGCACTCAAATATGGCTAGATCTCATGCTAAGTTTGTTTTCTGGATTGCCTGCCATGGTATGCTTGCCACCAAGATGAGGATGGCGAAATTTTGGTTATTAAATGATGGAAAGTGTAACTCCTATGATCAACAAGAAATAATGGACCACCTTCTTTTTGAATCTACTGAAATGAAGATTATTTGGGAGCAGATATTGAGTTGGCAGTAGATTAGTCATCAACCTAAGAAGTGGAGTGAAGAGCTTAGTTGAGTGATCTCTTAAGGCAAATGAAAGGGATTTAGAGCAACTTTGCTTAAAATGGCCATATAACAAGGATTATTTATGAGCTTTGAAAGTATATGAATGCTGTTAGTTTTGGGGGTATAATTAATAATACACACATAGAAAAAAAAGGTTATAGAAAATATAATTTATAAAAGTTGGACTCATCAAAAAATGAGAGAGTATATCATTAGGCTTATGATATCTTAGTTTGTTGGGTTGTTTGACTGGATCATAACTATCGTCCTGTATTCATTGTTTTTGTTTTAATCAAATTTATAATTATTAAAAAATATAATAATAATAATAATAATAATAATAATAATAATAATAATAATAATAATAATAATAATAATAATAATAATAATAAAAAAAAGAAAAAAGCGGCACATTAAAATTCATAAACCCTACTGAATGGAATAAGAATGTGATATGAGACAAATTAGGCTAGTTTTTTAAAACAAGTTTGAAATTAAAATTACAAATAAAATCTTTAAAGATAAAACTAAATTAGTTGATTTATTATTACTTTTTTAATTTAAAAAGGTATCTTAAAACTAAAATCTAGCAAATATATTATTTTTATAATAATTAATATATCCTTTAAAATTACCTAAAAATGAATTATTTTTTCATTCTAAATTAAATAAATAATTCAGGATAGAGAATTTTAGTATATTTTTATATAAAAAAATATAATATTAATTTAAATTAATTTAGAAATAAAAATCCCCTTTCAACTACTTTTTTTAAAGTTCCATTAAAAAAAGAAAATAATCTTTATATTGTATATTTTATATAAAAAATATAAAATAATATAAATAAATTTAGAATTAGAAAAACATTTGTAAAGTTCCATTAAAAAAGAAAACAATCTTTATTTTGTATTTTTTATATAGAAAAATACAGCATAATATAAATAAATTTAGATTAAAGAAAACCCTTTTAACCACCTTTTGTAAAGTTCCATTAAAAAAAAAATCTTTATATTTAATTTTTTATATAAAAAATATAATATCATTTAAATTAATTTAGATTTGAAAAAAACCTTTCAACTATCTTTTGTAAAGTTCCATTAAAAATTTTAAAAAATAATATTTATTTTGTATTTTTTATATAGAAAAATACAACATAATATAAATAAATTTAGATTAAAAAAACCCTTTTAACCACCTTTTGTAAAGTTCCATTAAAAATAGAAAAAAAATCCTTATATTTTATTTTTTATATAAAAAATATAATATCATTTAAATTAATTTAGATTTGAAAAAAACCTTTCAACTATCTTTTGTAAAGTTCCATTAAAAATAAAAAAATAAAATCTTTATTTTGTGTTTTTTATCCAAAAATATAATATAATATAAATAAATTTAGATTTAAAAATTTCATTAGTACTAAAGTAATGTTGGGGCGGGTTTGGAATCGGGTTGGGCTCAACAAAAAGCCCGGAAAAACGCAACGATTCTAGAAATTTCCACGACATACAAGTTAGTGTATTTAAAAACCCTTTACGCGTGTCATACTGATAAATCCTTTACTTCATTCAAGCTTCTCAATTCTTCAAATTCTCTTTACCTTCTTCATCTCTAACAAACTCAACCATGGCGATTATCTCCGATTTCCAAGAAGAAGACCAAACCACCAAACAATCCCCTTCATCTTCCCAACCCAAGCCAAAATCCATTCCGTTCACTTCCACCTTCGATCCATCCAACCCTGCCGCTTTTCTTGAAAAGGTCTTCGACTTCATCGCTAATGAGAGCGATTTCTTTGACAAGGAGTCGGCCGAGAAGGTGATTCTGAGCGGCGCTCGTGCTGTTAAGGTGAAGAAAGCTAAGGCTGTTGCGGCTGAGAAGGCGAAGATCGCTGCGGAGGAGAAGGCGAAGGCTGAGAAGGCGGCCGCGGCGGCAGTTGCAAAGAAAGATAAGGGAGTGGACGGGAAAGAAGATGAAAAGAAGGATGGAAAACCTGAATTAGCTGGTAACGTATTTACAATTTTGTTTCTATTTTATTTTATTTTTTGCCCTAGTCCAGAATGTTAATTAGGGTTTAGGGTTTATATTATTGATTTTAATGAGCATTTTGTTAGGAACATTATGGTAGTGCTGTATTGTAGGGTGTTTAAGAATGTTTATTAGGGTTTAGGGTTTAGCTTGTTGTTGTTAATGTGAGGCTACTCCATAAACACTTGTTTTGGCTTTGGCTTTGGCTTTGGCTTTGGCTTTAGGTTTAGGTTTAGGTTTAGGGTTTTATGTTGTATAATTGGACCTTACTAATAGCTATGAATAGGTAATCAATTATGTATCTGTAGGGATTTTCTGAACTATTTTTTAGGCCTTTGTTATTTTTAATGGACAGCTCCTAATAAGGGTAATGGTATGGATCTGGAAAACTATTCATGGACTCAGAGTCTGCAAGAGCTCAATGTTAATGTTCCGGTGCCAAATGGAACAAAATCGAAGTTTGTCATCTGTGAGATTAAGAAGAACCATCTAAAAGTTAGTCTCAAAGGACAGCCACCTATTATTGATGTAAGTTTCTTTTATCTTATTGCAGTTACAGTTGAAAATTGAAATTACATGCTACATTCATTGTTTTATTTTTAGAAACTTGGTATTCTTTCTGTTTTTTTGAGTTTGTTCAAATGTTTTTATTTTATCTTTTCTGATTTGTGATTTTAAAATTTTACAGAGGGAACTGTACAAGTCTATCAAGCCTGATGAATGTTACTGGAGCATAGGTATAGAACTGCTTAATTGCGTCTGTAGAAAATCCTTTTTTATAGGACCATTATTCTTTTGCATCATAATGGGTTTGATATTTTTTAAGTTTTTGTGTGAGAATTCTGGTTGTCGTTTCTCTGATGATTGGAACTGTGATTTTTTTTTGTGCAGAGGATCAGAATACTATTTCCATTCTGTTAACCAAGCATGACCAAATGGATTGGTGGAAATGTCTTGTAAAGGGTGACCCTGAAATTAATACCCAAAAAGTTGAACCTGAGAGCAGCAAACTTGGTGACCTGGATCCGGAGACTCGATCTACTGTTGAGAAAATGATGGTAATTGTTTGAGTTTTGTTACTTCAATTACTTAGTTTATATTATATTGCATATGTTTTTATCTGTCATCAATTTTATTTCGTGTAATCTTGTTACACTGAAGTGAGTATGAGTTTAGATAACACTGTATTTGATTTCCTTGCTAATGGTTTAATATTTTCTTGGATTGTTCAACAGTTTGATCAGAGGCAGAAATCCATGGGCCTTCCTACTAGCGAGGAGCTTAATAAACAAGACATGATGAAGAAGTTTATGAGCCAGCATCCTGAAATGGACTTCTCCAGGGCAAAATTGTCTTAGAATGGTTTTGATTTTGGCAAAATCATCTTTTGGTAACAAACATGTTTTGTTGAAAACACATTGCCTTTTATTTGCTTTGAATATATTTGAGTTTTATACCTTGGTTTGAGTAATAGTAAGGAAAAGTTAATTCTCTATTGAATCTATTTGTGGTCTGAAATTGAACGGATTCAGCACTAAGTAACGAACATCCCAAATAGTCATAACTGTCCGATAAAAAAATGTAGTGTATGAGTGAGTTGTTTGGTCCTTTTCGAACCCAAAAAAAAAAGAAGAAAAAGCATTTTTCTGATGTCCTGTTTCTAAAGCTTTACATCTTAGCACGCCATCTTTAAATTCCATCCACAGATCTTCTGATTAATCAAAGCGATTTGCTTAATCTGATATGCTTTAATGTTAAGAATTTGTCAATCAAGTTATAGTTGCAGCAAAAAGCTCTCTTCTCTATTAGGTTCCTAAATAAAACTAATGTGTCATGCATTACGAGTTTAAATCTATTTTTGAAAAGCCAGTTATTTTTCTTCACATATTTTAGTAGAATTTTATTCCTTACCTTCCAACACCTTTCTTCAATAAGATTAGGGCTGGTATGAACTCTCTAAACTTGTTTGGCAAGCATAGTTTCAACGAAGGTTCTAAAGTCCATGCCCCATTCCCTGTTATGTTTGCAAGAAAATTCCATTTTGATCCCATAGATTTTTCTTGTTATTGATTTTCAATTCCCAAAAATTATAAGTTAGACCCTTAATTTGTTTCAAATATCCATGTGTAGTAAAAACGTACCGCAACTTGAACAACCATTTTAATGAAATTATAAGAGTTTTTGTGTAAAATATAACTTTTATTTGTACCTACCAGTACAGATTGGTAACTCCGTGTTTTTAAGGTTTTCGATGACAATATTTTAAGGTTAGTTCACGTAAGTGGTGAGAGATTTTATATAGGGTTTTCGATAAGGTTAACTCAGTAAGGTGATGAGAGGTTTCATATACATGTTTCTCTTAGTGTGATTTGATATCCATTAACCTTGAGAAGGTTAGGTTATAAATAAATTTTTTTTATGAGCTTTTAAAATCGAAGAGCAGTTAGAGTATGACTTTTCTCCTTGTCTGACTCCTTCCACTCGTTGAAGTGCAGACACGTCACTACACACATTCAACAATAACGACATCTCACGTATGTCTTAGATGGTCTGTGATATTATTGAGTACGATGTCTTTTAAAGAGAACAGTGATTTAGTTTGCATGTTTATTGATTTCAGACGTTGTAATAGGGGTTGTCTTGATTTCAGCGTCCGAAGAAACCTTTGTATTGATACCATTAATTAAATCTCTCAAGTGAGATTTTTATGTTGACTTCCATAAGCGAGATTTTTTTGTCGAGTTCATTAAACAAGACTTTTAAGCTGAGTACCTCAAGAGTCTTTCAAGCGATATTTTAAGTTAAGTTTCTGAGCGAAACTTTTAAGTTGAGTCTCTTGGCGTTATATAAGGCGAGTTCAATTATATGTTATTTGTATTCTTTCTCTATGTAGCTCATTTATGAAGTGTCATGGCTTCTTTCTCTATGTAGCTCATTTATGAAGTGTTATGGCTTTTTTGTTGTTCATAATTCTAACGTCTAATCCTGATTATGTTTGCTGATATTTTTAGCAAACAATCACAAGTTTAATTTATTTAAGAGATTAATTCGAAATTTTTTAGAATAAGTTGTGCAAAAATGAATTAATGAGAAAAATGTTTGTTTTGGGTTTATAACACTTGAATAATAAACAACTGAAAATAAACCATAAACTTGGGTAAAGGAAATAGACAAGGCACAAAATAAATGAAGTAAATGATCTAATATAAATGCTTTAATGTAAAAGATTTACAGGGACATAAATTCACATATCTCATTAACTATTTTGCTCGATGACTTGAGTGCTCTAGTTCTATAGAAAATCAGTGAGGATTTGCGATCCCAACTACAATGCAGAAGTCTGCATTATATACTATTGCAAAGATATCCGTCGATGACGGTTCAATCCTAAAGATTTGACACGTATTTCACTACTTAGACCTTTATGTTCTAACTTGCTTTCACGCGTCTTCAAGGATACAACTGTCGAGAAATCACATATCTGTTGATAATAGTTGTTTGATAATTGCTTTCAAGAGCACCTATTTTAGTTCCCTAACATTTATTGAAATATCTCTTCACTTAATTGACTCTTAGATTTAGAAAATATACTAAGTTCTAGATAACTGATGATCTTGTCGAATCTAACCATCTTGTTGAAAAGCTTTTTGAGATTTTGGACATGTTTTGAAGAGAGAGTGATATTATTCTCGTAGATCTGTTCTTGAGATTTTTCCTGACCATGTCCACCATGCTTTGTCACATGCTTTAGTTCCCTAACACTTATCGAAACATCTTCTCACTTAATTGACTCTTAGACTTAGAAAATATACTATCTCTTAGATAACTGGTGATCTTGTCGAATCTAACCATCCTGTTGAAAATCTTTTTTGAGATTTTGAACATGTTTTGAAGAGAGAGTGATATTATTCTTGTGAATTTATTTTTGAGATTTTTCTAAACCATGTTCACCATGTTTTGTCGAACGCTTTTGGTCAATGTGGTTGATTAGTCGAAGCCTTATTAGTCGAGTCTTCCTAACACTTAGTACTTTTCAATGTGGCTTATAGATATTGTTTTTTTATTTTTATCTTTAGCTAGAATTTCCAAGCTAGTAGATGTATTCAAAAAATGCCACTTTTGATTATATGTGTCTGATAAAAAAATGTGGTGTTTTTTGTAAACCATTTGAAGTAGCTTGCACACGTCATATCAGCTATACGACTTTATGGTCTCGTCACATATGCGCGTGCAATTGATAATCATTACCTTTGATTTTTGAGGATATTAGTGATTCATTAAATTAATTGAAATTAAGAAAATTTATTTAATTTTATTTTTTTTCAATGTTTAAAACGGCATTTGTTACCTTGGACGTGCCACTTGTCTCCATTTTATTAGAGGAAAACTAAAACGTTTTCCCCTTTTTTGGCTACTTATATGATTTTTCTTCAACTCTTTTCTCTTTCATAATTTTCTTTCCTAAAAGGCCTTATAGAGTGTTTGCAACTTTTGTTGCCTCTTCCCAAACACTTATACTTATTTTTCGAAAAGGTTTTTGAGAATTAACAATGGCTCCTAGAAGTGCATCTAGACTTGCTTCACACACTTCCTTCGCTTCTAACATTCTAGACTTCCTTGTTATAGATAACCATACCTATGTTCTGGAGCCTCCTAGAGAAGAAGATGAGAGAAAATTTTGATATTCTCAAGCACTGATCCCTTACTCCATCTCAGGTACCACTTTCTCTATCATGGGACCTCTTCCTAGACATATTTGAAAACCCATTGTCTTAAGACATTTCTTTCCAAGCTTCTCTTCATGCTAACCCTTAGTGTTATAGGTTGAACCTTTTAATTTTAGCTTCTTGAAGAACTGAGTATTTCAATCATCTCCTTCGATTGATGACAACTCTTCATATATCTAGTGGCTGGATAGGGTTCAACAAAAGAAACATCATATATAAAAAGAGCAAGGTATTTATGACCTGATACAACTTTTAAGAGTAGGTCATAAGTATAACCCTCACATGCTCATTGATGTCATGTGCTTCAAGGAAACCCCTACGAGTATGTTTCACCTAACGTATGATCTTAGACATTGTCGCTATTGTTGGTCTTCGACCAACTGGAGAACCTTTTGAACCTTCTATAAAATTACCAGGACTAAACCTAAATTTGTCTTTATAGAATATGCTTATAACAAATTCATCGAAGAACATTATGCTTCGACCAAGAACGTGGGATACCAAGAATACATAGCCTTTTTCACCTACTGGCTTTCTCGCCATGTATTTTGCTCCTTCTCCCTTCTAATGGGCAAAAAAGTTGTACCTCTAGCCACCCAATTTCATGAAAGAGAGGAACGTTGGCCTTAGCAAACTCATCTTATGCAGCCTCTATGAATCTTAGGGGTTAGCATCTCGTGACCTCAAAGTACAAAAAAATCTTAAAAGTCTCGTGGTGGTTATCCCCATCTGGCTTCTGCAATTATGGCTTAATGCCACTTTTGAACATTCTCTAAAAACCATTATCCCTCCTAATTTAGAGGTGGGTGTCGAAGGTATGAGGCTGGCTTAGCTCATTCCAGTTGATAACAAAGTTGCGTCTAAGAAGGCTTTTAAGACCTATTTTGACATGTTTTACAAATTGTAAAACATTTTTATTGACTATGGTACCATTTGCTGGTCGACAATATGGACCCGCTTGTTTCAGAAAACCATTTCCACATCCCTCACACCATGAAGACAGGGAAATCCATGATATTCTACTGGAGTGTTTCCAACCTACTCCCTTGTAGACAAGACTCTATTATTTTAAGACGGGGATAATGACATCTTCATATCAGCCAAATTTGGTGGCTAGGCAATTCAATTTTAGTCAATTGCTACCTAAATATTTAATTCCTAAAGCAAATGTTATTTTCTCTTCCATCGACGAGCTAGGTGTGGAGTAGCTTGAGAGTTGTATAGATTTTTTCAAGAAGAAGATGATAACTCTCAATCCTTTCGAATTCTCTCTCTCTCTTTTCATTGTACTTGAGAGTTCAAGAATTGGTGGTCTAAATACTATCGGGGCGTGCAAGATCCTAGCCTTATGGCTTAGCGCCTAACTGATGCTTTCTCGTTTATGCGGGATGTAGAAAAGTAATGCAAAGGTATGTCTTGCCAAATACTTTTACAATGTAGAAAAAAATACTTAGGATAAAATTGCTTTAAATTCCCCTTGGGCTGTTACTCATTTCTGTTGACTTATTGTAGATATTTCCCAAAATCCAAAATCGTCGACAAATATTTTACATGTACAATTTCCTTATTCTCATTTTCTCTTCAGGTTATCTGAAATTATGGCATACACACAATATAGATGTCAAGACTGATGTCTCAACATACAACTACAATGTCACAACAAATGTTATGACATCTGTTGACAGAACAACAAACAAAAATAAAAGCACATCAGAACTATAACTTGCATAAAAGAAAGAATATAATGATATGTTAACCCAGTTTGGTGCAACTCACCTACTATGGAGGCTTCCAAGCCAGGAAGGAAATCAACTATCAGTAGTACTAGTTCAAAGATAAACTCCCTGATTTACAATTTATCTCCTAATCCCTACCCAATGCAACTTCTAACTAGGTCTTCCCTAGATATGAGAAATCAACATCCCACTTCCAATCATCGGAGTGATAAAAACTCCCAATCACAGGGAAAATAA